GATGCTATTACAGAATAAGTAGACACTACTGTAGAGTCAGTAGATACTACTATGGAGTCCGTAGTACTACTATAGCGTCACTATATACTATTGTAGAGTCAGTAGATACTACTATAGAGTCAGTAGATACTGCTATAGAGTTAGTGGATACTACTGTAGAGTCAGTAGATACTACAATAGACTCAGTAGCTACGTGTATAGAGTTAGTAGATACTACTATAGAATTAGTAGATACTACTGTAATGGCAACTTGACACACCTCTCTTGAGATGGCACTTTATTGAAGACACGTTCACTTTACATCAGGCGGACATCCCACTGCAACAGCCCAGAGGCTCCCACACATCTCCCTTATATCTCAAGATGATGCCATTGCCCCCTTCTCGATCATTCTCGACTCGACTGTCCTCTTCCGTCACCTGACCACGCTACCTTTTTGAACATACCCGTAGCCACCAGTCCCTTCGCACTCACAACTGATACCCCTGTTATTACCTCCCGTGGCCACTAGTGTATTCGTACTATAGGATGACCTCCCTGTCATTTCTTCCCGTGGCCACTAGGGCCCTCATACCACATGCAGGATCTATTGTCATTCCACTACTATAGACTCAGTAGATACTACTATAGAATCAATAGTTACTACTGTAGAGTCAGAAGATACGACTATAGTCAGTAGTTAGTACTGTAGAGTCAGCAGATGCTGCTGTAGAGTCAGTAGTTGCTACTGTAGAGTCAGTAGATACTACTGTAGAGTCAGTAGATACTGCTATAGAGTCAGTGGATACTACTATAGAGTCAGTAGTTACTATTGTAGAGGTAGTAGACACCACTATAGTCAGTATATACGACTGTCGAGTCAGTAGATACTATGGAGTCAGTGGATACTACAATAGACTCAGTAGCTACTACAATAGAGTGAGTAGATACTACTATAGTCAGTAGATACTACTATAGAATCAGTAGATACTACTGTAATGACAACTTGACACACCTCTCTTGAGATGGTACTGTATCGAAGACACGTTCACTTTACATCAGGCGGAGATTCTCTCTGTCCCTCCTTCTCCCCTCTGGCACGTGTTTTAATGGGTACTGCAAGATCTGACCGTGTTCGGCCAGTTCTCGCCGAGCTGCGTTGGCTTCCGGTTTCCGAACGAATCCATTATAAGATCGCACTCATTACACAGAAAGTGCTTGCCACGAATTAACCACAATAACTTACTGATATCGTCAAGGAAACATTTAAAATTATTTTCCCATAATGGAGTTTTTTTTTCTTAGATCGTATAAATATAAATGAGCCATTATACCCGCCACCAGCCGACACAGCCAATTTGTGAGGTTTGGCAAGTAAATAAAACATTCCAATTAGTTACTAGTTCAGCACACCGGTGTGTTGGAGAGTAAACCCACAACATGTACGTGCAGCATGTCTACTCTCAGAAGTGTATTAGCTGCAAGTTTATTTCTCCGACGTTTATTACCTAGAAGTTTATAAGCCAAATAAAGTCCATTGAGCTATGAAGATATTTTTCAAGGGCAACTCGCCAACAGGCGACCTAAGCAGCAAAGCATTCCGATCACCATTTAGAAGTATTGCTGGAGTTAAGGACTTCTCCACATTGAGTCAAAAGCGTCCCTGAGGACCAAGCTACAGCAGAATTTTCTATCGAGATAAAAAAACGAATTTCTTTACTACTGCTTTTTGTGTTTAGTTTGTTGTCCTTCCGCCGCACCTCCTATTAGCACATTTGGCTACATATGGTGCGATAGAAGTTCAACATATATACATACATAGAGACCCACAGACTCATTTGAACACTCAGTCTCACATAGATACACACAAACTCACACAGATACCCACATACTCAAACAGAGGCGCATAGACTCATAGAGACCCACAGACTCACAGACCAATAAACTCACACAGAGACCCATAGACTCACAGAGAGACCCACATACTCAAATAGAGACACATAGACCCGTAGAGACCCACAGGCTCGGAAACCCATAAACTCACACAGAGACCTACAGACTACAGCATGAGACCTCCCTTGCCAGTATAAAAAAATAGGATTAGGTTTTACCCTTTCTGGCAATAAAACAGGTGTTAAGATGTAAAAACTCCAAACTGAAACCTTTTGCAAGGAATCATGTCAGAGCATGTTTTTTGTTTGTTTGCATGTTCACCACAAGTATATGTGGTTAATGCAGACATAATTCCTTGCAAAAGGTTTCAGTTTGGTGCTTTAACATCTTAACACCTGTTTTATTGCCAGAAAGGGTAACACCTATTCTTATATTTTGATACTGGCAAGGGAGGTCCTATGATGTAGCTGCTCACTCCGAGCTCTCAATGTCCTGATAGTGCATTGTCTCTGTGCTGTTCGCCTTTTGGTGTCCTCTGGTCTAACACTGTTTGAGACTAGGCTCTAAAAGAAAGCTGTCTCTGGTGTGGACCAATCAGTTTCAAAGACAATGCATACACTGTCAGAGCATGTTTTTTGTTTGCATGTTCACCACAAGTATATGTGGTTAATGCAGACATGATTCCTTGCAAAAGTTTCAGTTTGGTGTTTTAACATCTTAATACCTGTTATATTTCCAGAAAGGGTAAAACCTACACTTATAGACCTACAGACTAACAATGAGATCCATCGACTCACACAGAGACCTGCATACTCAAAAAGAGACCCATAGACTCACAGCACCTCACGTGGATTGGTATGTAATGGAATGCCGAGGCACGTTCAGATTAGATCAGATATGGGGAGCATAAGCCATTCACCCATAAACACCAGCTTACATATATTCAAGCATTTATTTGTATACTGTCATATATTTACATATCATATGGATTTACATTAGTGTTATATTTGTATTACACTTATATATTCATTGTATTCATGTATAGACACGTATTTTATTTCGACATTTATCCCCACATCAAGCAGCTGAAACTGATGTCTTCGATGTCGTTCCTCAAAAGATCCGGAGATGCAAAGGTACTACAAAACACAGTTAAACTAACACTTCACATTAAGTATCTTAAAGCTAATTATTGTGAAAAGATAGAACATAGTATAATAGGAATTAACTAATTAGTATTTGTAAATCATTACTTGTACTTACACTTACAAATAACTAACACTATATTGGAATATAATCGACACAATTAAACAACAATCGACTGACAATTTATTGAAGTGAACGAACACTAACCAAATTAATACATTTGCTAGGACAACTCGTGAGGACGCTCTATCATCTGGTAGGCAACGCTGGTGCCATTAGATAATATGCAAAGGTATGGGTATGGAAAAATAAATTAAAGAGGTGAGCAACTGCTATAATTCGCTTCAAAAGATGACATACCTATATATAATACTGAGTTCAACAAACGGAGTGCAGAAAATGGACATGAAGGGCACCGGGTGTAAAACTTACGAATACGACAGATCTGGTAATGACCAAAGATGCTGGAAAACATTAGTTCGAATTTACAGAACAATCCAAGGAGCCGATGTCTCTTCGGGCAACAGCTTGGTACGATACAACCTACGACTAAAACTAAAACGTACATCGAGAACCGAATATGAGAAGAGGAACATGGAGGCACTCGAGAACGATGAGACAAGGAGGAGGTATGAAAAGGGAATATCGAGTGGAATCAGGCGGGTAAAAATATAACACCTAAGCATAGACAGCAAGGTATTAGCACTGAAGACCCGAGTTGGATTCCCGCTCACGGCCACCAACACCAGTAACGATTATCGGAACAATCGGTACCTGTGCCTCCCCTAGGCAGACTAAGCTTCAAATTAGTTCCCGTATGGTCTGTCTGAAACATCGCCACTGGGGAGACAAAGGGGGACGGGCGTGGCACTGGCAACACCGCCCCCTCGTGTGTCATGCCGCGTTTCATATGGTGCTGCTACTCACTAATAGCACTTGCCCCAACAGCCTATTAAGACTATACAGGGGATCTTTGTCTTGTCAAAAACCAGAACATGTTTGTTCCCCATGCAAATGGTTCAATGCAGAAGGTGTTCGTGCGGCTATTTTTAGGCCAATACTAGAAACGCATGCGGAATCCCACGTGCATTCCGTGAGATATTTAAAAAAAGTAAGATTGCCTTCCAAATTCTTAAAAGCAGTTTGCACAACAATTATTTCAAACAGGTGTTTTGGGTCCATTAACCTTTTTGTGCACGTTCCATGAATACGAGTCAATGGCCAGAACGTTTTTTTTTTTTAAGGAAACATGCAAGCACAAACATCCCCGTATAGCCAGCCTATGGTGGTGTTACTGACACGGAACTTAAATCATTCCTTAAAGCTTTCGTGACTGCAGGAATTCATATTCTTTGGGTCTTTCGGTAAAGTCACGTAGACAGGCTCAAAGAAAATGACAAATAATAACAAAAAACTACGAAGTTTCGATCGCAACACAAGCGTTCGTCACCAGGAAGAACGTTTGTGTTGCTATCGAAACGCAAGCGTTCGTCATCACGAGCGATCGTCATCAGGAAGAACGCTTGTGTTGCAATCGAAACGTCGTAGTTTTTTGTGATTTTTGTTATTTTCTTTGAACCTATTTACGTGACTTTACCGAAAGACCCAAAGAATATGACACGGAACATGTTGAGTTGTTGTCGCTCTTTGTGTTTGTTTCTGCACTACTGAGAACACAGCGATACCATTAAAAATTCCAACTGGGAAGGGAGTGTGGACCAGATGGAGATTAGTCCACACACTTTGCACCTTCTGGCAGAACCAGGGTTACGGCTCCTCCTCTACGCCAAGGGATGGAATGTCACAGCACATCAGTGTGCGATCCTCCAACCCTCGTTGCAGCCTCCACAACAGCGCTGGACGATTCTAGGCCACGCACTGCCACCACCGCCAACATCACCACCACTACCGGAACTACCGACACTGACAACGCCCAATGCATTTTTATCATTCATGAAATTTTTTCGGTTACTTGCATACATAAACAGTGAGTACAGAGTGCATACACCGGAATTTCCAGATGCCACAAGCAGGTGCTGGACTTTGTATTCGTGACGTTGGTCGATGCTGCAAAGGGGTCTGTCTCCTTCCCACGTCACGAAACATTATAAGCCATCGTTAAAGACTCGAAGCTGTGGTACCCAGAAAGGAGGAAAAAGAGACGGGGAGAGAGAGAGAGAAGGAGCGACACACGCGTGGTCTATGTGAGTACAATGTCCGTATCCTCTGTCTGGGATTTCAACACGAATTAAGGGGTGGGGGAGATCCTCTAGCGAGCGGTTGATGGTCAGAGATCATTGATGGCTTTTGGACCACCCTGTAAAACATAGCCTATGTGTCGTTGCTTCTTGTGTCACATTATAAAGCAATCCTATGTGTCCTGACTTTTTGGGCCATACTGTAAATAAGCCCAAATGTCCGGACTTTTGGGCCACCCTCTATCATAACTATTTGTGTCCTGACATATTGTGCCACCCTGTATAATAACTCCATGTGCCCTGGTCTCTTGGGCCACCTTATAGAAAATGCTGTGTCCTGAGTTGGGCCATACTGTATAATAATCCTGTGACCTGACTTCTTGGGCCACCCTGTACAATAACCCTGTTTCCTGACTTTTGGACCACCGTCTATAATAACCCTATGTGTTCCGACTTTTTTGGCCACCATGCACAATCGCGCTCTTTCCTGACTTTTTGGGCCACCCTGTATAATAATAAACCCTATGTGTCCTTGCTTCTTGGATCACTTTATTAAACAATCCTATGTGTCCTGACTTTTGGGCCATACTGTATAATAAGCCCATATGTCCTGACTTTTTGGGCCACCCTGTACAATAACCATATGTGTCCTGACTTTTTGGGCCACCCTGTATGATAAGCCTGTGTCCTGACTTTTTAGCCATACTGTATAATAAGCCCATATGTCCTGACTTTTTGTGCCACCCTGTATGATAACCCTGTGTCCTGACTTATGGGCCACCCTGTACAATAACCCTATGGGTCCTGCCTTTTTGGGCCATGATAACCCTACGTGTCCTGACTTATTGTGCCACCTTATAAAACAATGCAATGTCCTGAATTTTGGGCTATACTGTATAATTATCCTGTGTCCTGACTTCTTGATGCATCATGTATAATAAACCTATGTGTTCTGACTTTTTGGGTCACCCTGTAGTACCCCTTTATGTCCTGGCTTTTTGTGCCACCTTCTACAATAACCCTATGTTTTCTGACTTTTGGACCACTCTGTACAATAATCCTATGTGTCCTGATTTTTTGGGCCACCCTGTACATAACCCTACGTCTCCTCTCTTTATAAAAACCCATAAGAAATTAACTCAATATGCCTGTATATTTGGGATCCAAGTCGATTGTATCCACGCGCCTGCCTGCCTGTGTGGTGTATTTATCACCATCACTCAGCACTTCTGTAAATAAGTCGAGTGGTCTTAACAACCCAAAACGGGTGGCTTGGAGAGGGTTGCTTCACAACGAGCACGTGGGCGGGGGTAACATGCGCCAAGTGTTTCATGGGTGTAGATGTGTGTCTGTGTGTGTGTAGGTGTGTGTAGATGTATGTATGTGTGCTTCTGTGTGTGTGTAGATGTGTGACTGGGGATGTGATAGTGTAGCACCTAACGCACTCGGGTTAGATTCCCGCTCAAGGCCAACATCCGTGACGATTATCTGGACCGGTCCTGGACCTCCCGTAGGTCGACTCAGCCTCAAATGCATACCTGATGCGATGTGTAAGCATCGCCACTAGAGAGACAAAGGCGGCCGGGCGTGGTGTTTGCCATCCACCCCCTTGAGTGCCGTGCCAGCCTTCATAGGTGTTCGCTAACAGCACTTGCCCCAACCGTCTGTTAAATCTATACGGGGGATCTTTGTCTTCGTCTTTGTTGTCGTTCCTCAAAAGATCCAGAGATGCAAAGGTACTACAAAACACAGTTAAACTAAGACTTCATATTAAGTATCTTAAAGCTAATTAAATACTACATATTGTGTTATTGTGAAAAGATAGAACATAGTATAATAGGAATTAACTAATCAGTATTTATAAATCATTACTTGTACTTACACTTACAAATAACTAACACTATATCTACGGATTATTGGAATATAATCGATCTAATTACACAACAATCGACTGACAATTTATTGAAGTGAACGAACACTAACCAAATTAATACATTTGCTAGGACAACTCGTGAGGACGCTCTATCATCTGGTAGGCAACGCTGGTGCCATTAGATAATATGCAAAGGTATGGGTATGGAAAAATAAATTAAAGAGGTGAGCAACTGCTAGAATTCGCTTCAAAAGATGACATACCTATATAAAATACTGAGTTCAAACAAACTGAGTGCAGAAAATGGACATGAAGGGCACCGGATGTAAAACTTACGAATACAACAGATCTGGTAATGACCAAAGATGCTGGAAAACATCAGTTCGAATTTACAGAACAATCCAAGGAGCCGATGTCTCTTCGAGCAACAGCTTGGTACGATACAACCTACGACTAAAACTAAAACGTACATCGAGAACCGAATATGAGAAGAGGAACATAGAGGCACTCGAGAACGATGAGACAAGGAGGAGGTATGAAAAGGGAATATCGAGCGGAATCAGGCTGGTAAAAATATAACACCGGCCATAGACAGCAAGGTATTAGCACTGAAGACCCGAGTTGGATTCCCGCTCACGGCCACCAACACCAGTAACGATTATCAGAACAATCGGTACCTGTGCCTCCCCTAGGTAGACTAAGCTTCAAATTAGTTCCCGTGTGGTCTGTCTGAAACATCGCCACTGGGGAGACAAAGGGGGACGGGCGTGGCACTGGCAACACCGCCCCCTCGTGTGTCATGCCGCCTTTCATATGGTGCTGCTACTCACTAATAGCACTTGCCCCAACAGCCTATTAAGACTATACAGGGGATCTTTGTCTTGTCAAAAACCAGAACATGTTTGTTCCCCATGCAAATGGTCCTTTGCAGAAGGTGTTCGTGCGGCTATTTTTAGGCCAATACTGGAAACGCATGCGGAATCTCACGTGCATTCCGTGAGATATTTTAAAAAAGTAAGATTGCCTTCCAAATTCTTAAAAGCAATTTGCACAACAATTATTTCAAACAGGTTTTTTGGGTCCAATAACCTGTTTGTGCACGTTGAATGAATGCGGGTCAATGGCCAGAACGTTTTTTTCCTTTTAAGGAAACATGCAAGCACAAACATCCCCGTATAGCCAGCCTATGGTGGTGTTACTGACACGGAACTTAAATCATTCCTTAAAGCTTTCGTGACTGCAGGAATTCATATTCTTTGGGTCTTTCGGTAAAGTCACGTAGACAGGCTCAAAGAAAATAACAAACAATAGCAAAAAACTACGAAGTTTCGATCGCAACACAAACGTTCGTCACCAGGAAGAACGTTTGTGTTGCTATCGAAACGCAAGCGTTCGTCATCACAAGCATTCGTCATCAGGAAGAACGCTTGTGTTGCGATCGAAACGTCGTAGTTTTTTGTTATTTTCTTTGAACCTATTTACGTGACTTTACCGAAAGACCCAAAGAATATGACACTGAACTTGTTGAGTTGTTGTCGCTCTTTGTGTTTCTGCACTACCGGGAACACAGCGATACCATTAAAAATTCCAACTGGGAAGGGAGTGTGGACCAGATGGAGATTAGTCCACACACTTTGGACCTTCTGGCAGAACCAGGGTAACGGCTCCTCCTCTACGCCAAGGGATGGAATGTCACAGCACATCAGTGTGCGATCCTCCAACCCTCGTTGCAGCCTTCACAACAGCGCTGGACGATTCTAGGCCACGCACTGCCACCACCACCACCGCCAACATCACCACCACTACCGGAACTACCGCCAATGACAACGCCCAATGCATTTTTATCATTCATGCATTTTTTTGGGTTACTTGCATACATAAACAGTGAGTACAGAGTGCATACACCGGAATTTCCAGATGCCACAAGCAGGTGCTGGACTTTGTATTCGTGACGTTGGTCGATGCTGCAAAGGCGTCTGTCTCCTACCCACGTCACGAAACATTATAAGCCATCGTTAACGACTCGAAGCTGTGGTACCCAGAAAGGAAGAGAAAGAGACGGGGAGAGAGAGAGAGAGAAGGAGCGACACACGCGTGGTCTATGTGAGTACAATGTCCGTATCCCCTGTCTGGGATTTCAACACGAATTGAGGGGTGGGGGAGATCCTCTAGCGAGAGGCTGATGGTCAGAGATCATTGATGGCTTTTGGACCACCCTGTAAAACATAGCCTATGTGTCGTTGCTTCTTGTGTCACCTTATAAAGCAATCCTATGTGTCCTGACTTTTTGGGCCATACTGTAAATAAGCCCAATTGTCCGGACTTTTGGGCCACCCTCTATCATAACTATTTGTGTCCTGACTTTTGGGCTACCCTGTATAATAACCCTGTGTCCTGACTTATTGTGCCACCCTGTATAATAACTCTATGTGCCCTGGTCTCTTGGGCCACCTTATAGAAAATGCTGTGTCCTGATTTGGGCCATACTGTATAATAATCCTGTGACCTGACTTCTTGGGCCACCCTGTATAATAACCGCATGCCTTGACTTTTTCGACCACACTGTACAATAACCCTGTGTTCTGACTTTTTGGGCCACACTGTACAATAACCCTGTTTCCTGACTTTTGGACCACCGTCTATAATAACCCTATGTGTTCCGACTTTTTTGGCAACCATGCACAATCGCGCTCTGTCCTGACTTTTTGGGCCACCCTGTACAATACCCGTTTGTGTCCTGACTTTTTGGGCTACCCTGTATAATAATAAACCCTATGTGTCCTTGCTTCTTGGATCACCTCATTAAACAATCCTATGTGTCCTGACTTTTGGGCCATACTGTATAATAAGCCCATATGTCCTGACTTTTTGGGCCACCCTGTATGATAACCCTGTGTCCTGACTTTTGAGCCATACTGTATAATAAGCCCATATGTCCTGACTTTTTGGGCCACCCTGTACAATAACCCTATGTGTCCTGACTTTTTCGGCCACCCTGTATGATAACCCTGTGTCCTGACTTATGGGCCACCCTGTACAATAACCCTATGGGTCCTGCCTTTTTGGGCCATGATAACCCTACGTGTCCTGACTTATTGTGCCACCTTATAAAACAATGCTATGTCCTGAATTTTGGGCTATACTGTATAATAATCCTATGTCCTGACTTCTTGATGCATCATGTATAATAAACCTATGTGTTCTGACTTTTTGGGTCACCTTGTAGTACCCCTTTATGTCCTGACTTTTTGGGCCACCTTCTACAATAACCCTATGTTTTCTGACTTTTGGACCACTCTGTACAATAATCCTACGTGTCCTGATTTTTTGGGCCACCCTGTACATAACCCTACGTGTCCTCTCTTTATAAAAACCCATAAGAAATTAACTCAATATGCCGTATGTTTGGGATCCAAGTCGATTGTATCCACGCGCCTGCCTGCCTGTGCGGTGTATTTATCACCATCACTCAGCACTTCTGTAAATAAGTCGAGTGGTCTTAACAACCCAAAACGGGTGGCTTGGAGAGGGTTGCTTCACAACGAGCACGTGGGCGGGGGTGACATGCGCCAAGTGTTTCATGGGTGTAGATGTGTGTCTGTGTGTGTGTAGGTGTGTGTAGATGTATGTATGTGTGCTTCTGTGTGTGTGTAGATGTGTGACTGGGGATGTGATAGTGTAGCACCTAACGCGCTCGGGATCGATTCCCGCTCAAGGCCAACATCCGTGACGATTATCTGGACCGGTCCTGGACCTCCCGTAGGTCGACTCAGCCTCAAATGCATAAATGATGCGATGTGTAAGCATCGCCACTAGGGAGACAAAGGCGGCCGGGCGTGGTGTTTGCCACCCACCCCCTTGAGTGCCGTGCCAGCCTTCTTAAGTGTTCGCTAACAGCACTTGCCCCAACCGTCTGTTAAATCTATACGGGGGATCTTTGTCTTCGTCTTTGTGTCTAGATGTGTGTGTGTGTAGGGGAGCGGTAGTGTAGCGGTTAGTGCGCTGCGCTAAGAACTCGGCATCTCGAGTTCGATTGCCGCTCACTACCAACACGAGTGAGAATGATCTAAACCGATCCTGGGCCTCCTCTATATTGACTCAGCCTCAAATGAGTACCTAGTGCGATGTGTAAACATTGCTACTCGGGAGACAAAGATGGCAGGGCGTGGTGCTGGCCACCAACCCCCTTGTGTGCCGTTCCAACCTTGATAGGTGCTCGTTAACAGCACTTGCCTCAACAATCTGTGTGTAGATGTGTGTCTGTGTGTAGATGTGTTTACGTGTGTAGGTGTGTGTGGCCTTCGACACTTCACGTGGCCTCAAAGTGCACCTGGCTTGGCACAGGCGCCGTGGTGACGTCACCGCCACTTCGTGGCGAATGGCGACTGCGTTGGTGTATAGATGTGAGTCTGTGTGTGTGTGGGGAGCGGTAGCGCAACGGTTTGCACGCTGGGCTACGAACCTGGCCACCCGAGTTCGACATCCTGCTCACGGCCAACACCAGTGGCGATTATCTGAACCGGTCCTGGGCTTTCCCTAGGTCAAGTGAGCCTCAAATGAGTACCTGGTGCGGTGTGTGCGTCGTGTGAAACATCGCCACTCGGGAGACAAAGGTGGACGGGCATGGTGTTGGCCACACCTCCCCCTCGTGTGCCACAGTGCTGGCCTTCAAAGGTGCTTCTCGCTAACCACACTTGCCCCAAACGTCTGTTAAGGGCTATACGGGCGTGGGGTGGCTTTGTCTGTGTAGCTGATGGTTGCTCACGTCATGTGAATCTCATCCGACCTGTCAAGGAACGGCTTCTGTCAAGTATCTGGTGGCTGAGGGCTCGGCACTGCGGAGATCTTGGATCTTTCACATCCAGCGCCAGTGTTGTTTTAACTCTGTACTGCTGCAGCTAAATTATCTCTGGGGTTAAGCTCTCAGTTCCTATCTTGACTTAAAGCTTTCGTGACTGTAGGAATTCATATTCTTTGGGTCTTTCGGTAAAGTCGTCTTCCTGAAGACAGTTGCTTGTGTTGCGATCGAAACGTCGTGGTTTTTACACGCCTTCTATTAACTCACTGTCTGTTTTGATTTAAAGCTTTCGTGACTGCAGGGATTCATATTCTTGGTTCTTTAGGTAAAGTCACGTAGAAGGGAAACAATAAAATAATAAAAATATACAACAATAACATTCTCACGACGTTTCGACTGCAACACAAGCAATCATCATCAGGTGTGAAAACCAAAGCAATATTTTTTTTTTAAAGTGGCGGGTTTTTTTTGGACTCGTCCATCTGAACAAACTGCCAAATCGCTCTCCGTGGTGCTGACGTTAAAAAAAAACGCCACTCGTGGGCCGTGCTGGCCTTTATAGTTGCTCGCTAACAGCGCTTGCCCCAACAGTTTTTAAAGGTTATACGGGGGTCGTTGTCTTTGTGTGTCTGTGTTTGTGCAATTGTAGTGACTCATTGTGCCCCTACCGACAAGAGAGCCAGAATGAGGACTCAAGGTAAGTGAAAATAAAACGGATTTTTTAAAAATATTAATGCCACTATTTTGTATGTTATGTTCTCTATACAGTATTTTTTTAGTGGTACATACAAATGTACAATATGTCTTTTTTTAAATAATTTTAACAATGCTCTTTTTGCTGAACCGTAACACATTTCATTGTTCTCAAATATGGGTATTTAAACACAGTACCATAGTGTGTTCCGACTTATGAACAGTTCGACTTACGAACGTGTCTCAGGAGCGGAACCCGTTAATAAGTCAACGAATGCCCATTTAAATCAATGGTGCGTCCATCCTGACCGTTGATTCCCCCTCCCTCGTTCCGCCCCTCTGGATCATGAGGCAAGTGCCTCATCACCCACCCTTAGTGAATGCTGGTTGCGCCTCGGGGTGACGCGGTGCACTAGGAACTCGGGTTGGCTGGACTGTTTCAAGAAAGGTTTGGGAGAGGTCCTAACGGACTCGACCCTCACAATGTATAGTAGTGTAGTGTATAGCAGTGTAATATACGTGACTTTACCGAAAGAACCAAAGAGTAATTCCTACAGTCACGAAAGCTTAAAATCAAGTATGATACCTATACGTTAAACCAACAGCTCCCATTTGTCAATATACACACGTATGTGTGTTGAATTTCATTAGCACCGTACGTAGCCAACCGTGCTAATCGGAGGTGCGAGAGGAGGACAACAAACTGAACACAAAAGGTAGTTTTAAAGAAATGAGATTTCAATCTAGATCAGTTAAAAGTGCACAACTTTAGTGGCTTCGTAATATTGGAAGGGAGAGCGTTCCAGACGACCGCAGAAGCGCATCTGAAAGCGCATGATGAAATGACCGTCATTGTTCGATGGCCAACCCAAAGTGGATTATATAGTGTAGTGTATAGTACTGTAGCGTGTAATGTAGCATAATGTAGGGTAGTGTAGTGTATAGTAGCGTAATATATAGTGGAGTGTACTTAGCATCTGAAAATGCGCGATACAGTGACTGTCTTTGTTTCGACGGCCAGCCAAAAGCTGCTGTGAGTGTAATTGGAGTTCGCGTGATGATTTATGCTCCTTGACAAGATCAGCGAGGTATTGTGGTTCATTTATAGCAAGCACTTTGTGTGTAATGAGTGCGACCTTATAATGTATTCGTTCAACAACTGGCAGCCAATGCAGCTCAGTGAGCACTGGACGGACATGGTCGGATCTTGCAGTACCCGTCACAACACCTGCCAGTGATTATTTTTTATATGCTGCAGCTGGATAATGTAATATTTTAACCAAGGTGCAACCTCAACCGCAGAGACTCGGACCGCTTTGACACATAGGCTGTCGTTTCCAAAATTATTAATAATAAAGGTTTCTGGGTTAGATTGCATAAATATAAATGTGTCATTAAAACACCTCCACCCGACACAGCCAATTAGTAAGGTTTGTCACGTGAACAAAACGCGTCAGTTAGTTGCTAGTTCAGCACATTGGTGGGTTGGAGAGTAAAACCCACAACATTTACATTGAGTACTGCGACGTTTTGCTGGTTATTGCAATCAAGTTCATCAGGTGATATGCCAGCTTCATCAAGCGATTTGCTTCACCAAGCGACCAAATATAAGCCACGTTCTCGGAATCAACGGAGCCTGGAATATAACGGATGTGCAACAAACTCTATTGCATTCCTCTTGCTGTTTGGGGTTGTTTTCTTTTTTTCAGGACTGAAATAAAAAAACGGTTGAAATCGTGAATTCTTGAAAGGAAATTGGCATGTCACCCTGGAGCAAGCTCATCGCGCTGCTGATAGCACTCCTTGTAAGATGTACGTAGACCACATTTGGTCACATTTTTGTACCTTTTACATTCGTTTACTCAGAGAGACACCAGGTAGCATGGTGCGGATGCGGTATCTGTCACAGTGAATGCATTGTGGTGGTGATATTGCCGATGGTCCTGCTGCTGCCAGTGATGCTGCTGTATATAGATTCTGATGGTGATCCTGATGATGTGTCAGTGTGTCTGCTATAAGCACATACTGTGTGTTTGATTGACGATTATAATGTATGTATGATGATGTACATAGATGCTGATGAAACATATATGACAATGATAACGCTCATGATGATGATATATATATAGATGGTGCTGATGCCAATTATGTATAGAGATGTTGCTTATAATGTATGATGTATATAGATGATGATAATGATGCTGCTGCTGATGATGTATTTTGCTAATGATGTATGATGATATATTTTAATGATGCTATTAAATTAATGATAATATCCTCTATATAGATGATGATGCATAAGGATGAACGTGAGACAGTTGTGGTGACTATCCGTCTGCATAAAAGTACTGCACATGCCTAGTATTTGACTCCTACTGCACACAGATGCCCACGCTGAAGGAGAAATCGCCGTCCACACAGACACGGAGGTTGCCATCAAGGAGGGCAGCGACGCTCTCCTCTCGTGCACCTACGAATGCACGCCCCACGGGGACAACCACACGGTGGTGCAGTGGTGGAAAGTTAAAGAGGATAAAGATGAACAGGCAAGGCATTGTCTCGTGGACCCAGCCCTGAAGTCTCACTGAGAGTGGCCAAATGCTCGCTGAGCTCCATCGGCTTCTGGTTGCCAAACGAATACATTGTTATGAGGTCGCACTCATTACACACAAAGTGCTTGCCACAAATGAACCACAATCACCTTGCTGATCTCATCAAGAAGCATAAACCATCATCACGCAGACTCTGGTCATCCTCGCAGCAGCGGCTTTTGGATAACCATCACACTTTTAGATGCACTTTTGCTGACATCTGCAACACTCTTCCTTCTGATATTAGGAAGCTACTGGAGCTGTGCACTTTAAAAGATAGGTTGTTTTAGAGCTGCATTTTGTGTTTAGTTTGTTGTCCTTCGCCCGCACCTCTGATTATCGCGGTTAGCTACGTACGGTGTGACTTCAATGCCCGAGTTGGTCATGATGCTGGCACCTGGTCTGGAGTGATTGGAAGGCATTGGCCAGATCAGCTCAATAACAATGGTAGGAGGCTGCTAGATTGTTGTGTAGCCTATGGGCTTGTAATTACCAACACATTGTTTAGGCATCGGCGCATCGACACAACATCATGGATGCATGCCGGGTCCAAGCAAGAACATCTGCTGGACTACATAGTGACGGATCAGCGGATGCAGGCCCATGTCCTTGACACCAGGATCTACCGTGAAGCTGATCTGCCCTCTGACCATGGACTTGTCATCTGTAAGATGCGCCTGCCATTATTCCACTCTGGGGGTGGGTGTACACCCAGGACCCTATTTCAACCTAACGTGGCCTGGTCTCAGCTAGCTGATGAAAGTTGCAAGCGAGAATTTCATCATCACTTGCGGCTGGGGTTGGCATCATCCCGCACTCCTCCAGATGTCGAGGGTAAATGGGCGAGGTTTAGGACTGTGACTCATGCAGCTGCAATGGCTGCTTTGGGTACGCGGTCCAGACCTCCCCAAAGACCCTTGCTGACAGAGGAGGTGTTCAGGATAGTTAAGAAAAAGCGACAGGCCCACTCTAATCGTCTACAGCATCCCATGTCAGATAATGAGGAGGCTTACCGCAGCCTTCGCTCGGAGGTTCGGAGAGCCGTGAGGTGCTACAAGGATGGGTGGTGGTCGCGGGTTGCTGTGGAGATGGAGTCTGCCTCAATGGCCTGCGATCACAAATCCCTATTTAACTCCATCAAAAAAAGTAACCTGCAGCGCCACACCTATTACCATCATTAGGGGAAAAACGGTAATCCAATCTCCGACCCCCCAGGAACAGGTTTGCAGATTTGCTGAGCATTTCTGTGAGGTACTGGGGGAGGGGACATCCCTCAGCCTGGATAATAACGTGGGACAAAGTGGGGACGACCCTGCCGAGGCTGTGGTACCTCAAATATTGGAATAAGTCACCCCCTGTGAGTGGCTGGCTGAGGTTCCATCTGTTGAGGAAGTACTGAGGGTGATCCAGAGTCTGAGACCAGGAAAGGCACCGGGCAGAGATGATCCCCCAAGCGACATGCTGAGGGAGGGTGGCGTTTGTGCTCAGACTACCCTACATGACATCATAACAACAGTCTGGACCACTGGACGGGTTCCGCAGGACTGGAAGGATGCCCTGGTGGTCTCCCTCTTTCAGAAAGGGGACCACACAGACTGTAACAACTGCAGGGGCATCTCACTCATCACTGTGCCGGGAAAGGTCCTGGCAAGGATTATTCAACATCGCCTTGTTAAGCACGCTGAGGAGAGGCTTGCGGAGCCTCAATGTGGATTCAGGAAAGGGCGGTCCTGCACGGATGCCATATTTTCTGTCTGTCTGCTACAGCAGAGGTGTAGGGAATTCCAACAAGACCTACATCTCTGTTTTATTGACTTGATATCATCAGTAGGCCTGGGCTCTGGGTTGTTCTTCATGCTTTCGGAGTCCCTGACCCTCTGCTCACGATCATTAAGGACCTTCATGATAGCGAGCGGGCCCGGGTAAAACTACGTGGCCGGGAGTTGGAGCCATGCGCTGTAGACCTTGGGGTGCGACAGGGATGTCCTCTGGCTCCCACATTATTTAACATATTTTGACTACATAGTTCGTTAGGCCTTTAAAAGCTGTACCGGAGGAATTTCCATCTGGTACAGATATAATAGGAGGCTGATCGATGCCCGGGTGCGGTCAAGGGATGGCTGCCTATTGCTCAACCATGTGATGTATGCCGATGATCTGGTAATCGCTGCTCACTCAGAGGAGGAGTTGGAGGTGCTGCTGCTAACCGGGAGAATGCCACTAAGAGGTGGGCCTTACTATCAGCCCCACCAAAACTAAGCACCTGCCAGGGTATTTTGTACCATTGGACACTCCACCCCCACAACTCCCAATTGGTGATGGGGCAGCTGTGGAGAGAGTGGAGAGTTTCCCATATCTGGGCAGTATGCTTATGACCAGCTCCGGTTTAACAGCAGAGGTCTCACTCCGAATCAGTCGAGTGGCATTGTCTTTTCATCGGTTGCGTAACGCTGTGTGGAAGCTACCTGGTCTGTCGCTCCACACGAAGCTTCAGGTCTTCTCGGCCACAGTCATTCCCTCCCTTCTATATGCTTGCGAAACGTGGACCCCCCTAATGGAACATCTTTGCCGGTTAGAAACATTTAGGTAGGCCTGCCTACGATCCATCCTGGGTTTAACCAGGCTGGATTGTGTGAGGAGCTCACAAATCCTTGAAAGATCTGGACAAAGTCCCATCATTGAGCTCCTCCGGCAGGCAAGGCTGTGTTGGCTGGGCCATGTAGCCTGCATGCCCAATCACCGCATGCCTAAACAGCTTTTGTTCGGCTGGATCGAGGGGGCTAAGCGGGCGTGGCACGGGCTAGAAAAGAGATGGAGTGATGTGGTACAGGAGGATGTGGAGCTGAGTGGACTTGCCACTGACTGGTACCAGCGGTGTCAAGATCGGCCTCTGTGGAGGAGGCTCGTGAAGGACGCTACTGGGCAGTTGGAGGCAGTCGCCCTCCAACAACAATGAAGGGCGAAGCGCGGAGGAGCGACGCTCACAGCAACGAGCGGAGCGCGGGGTGGCTAAAGCACAGCAAGTTGGCACAGTAGGGGGCACAGGTGGTGCATCATCCACTCATCTCAGTCAGTCGACTCGTGGCACCTGGGTCTGCCCCGTGACCTCCTGCCAGCGGGCGATCGACACTTCACGTGGCCTCAAGGTGCACATAGCCTGGCACAAGCGTCGTGGTGATGTCACCGCTACTTAGTGGCGAATGGCGGTTGTTGTTGCGTTCCCAAGGCAATGACGCGGCTCCCACTACATTTACTATATCAGAGGCGAGCATCACGAGCATCGCGCCGGGTACATAAAACACAGAAAGTTGGCGCAGGTGGTGTATTTGCCCATGATCCTAGTCAATCCATTGCAGCTACTGGGTCTCCTGTCAGCGAGTCTTCAACGCTTCACGTGACCTCAAAGCCCATATAACCTGGCAAATGGTGGTTGCTGTAAGGTTAGCCAGGCAATTCTTCTCGGTGATATATTTACAGCTAACGTATTTATTATAAAAAAATAATTTAAAAAGCGTACGACACAACATAATAGTATAGGCACAACGTTATAGGTCTCTAGTAACATAACTAAATAAAACAAGAAAGGAAATTATTAACACCAACTAATTTATGATAAAATATTGGGCCTAACGCAGGCTCAAAAGTGTAGATATTCCCAGTTATGGGTGCAGCCTGGGACCCTTAATCATTCCTCCCACCCATTAGGCGTTTTCATTACATCAAAATTTTCATCACAATTAGTTTCCTATGACATAATCCTGCACCATTGTGGAACAACAATGTTACAGCCCTTAAAAGGTGGAGATATTCTCCATCAGGAGATTCCGCTTCACATCCCCTTTGCTTCCACCACTTTCCCGATCCTTCGAACACCGTGGAAGTCTGGAAATTAAATCAAAACTCAATAACAAAATAAGACAGACCTTCTTCCTTTGAGAGAAAGAGTGAGGGGGAGCATGAGGCGGTCACAGGCGTTCTGCTGGTACTATGTACAGGTGAAGTGACAGGCTGGTGCTCATTCTTACATAACCTCGCTATGCTCGTTCTAGAAATGCTGTTGAGATGCAATGTACGTGTGCATGTTGAACTTCTTTTGCACCGTACGTAGTCAACTGTGCTAAATCGGAGGTGCGGCGATAGTAACACACTGGACTTGCAATCCATAGGTAAATTTTCTTCTCCCCGTGCGGCAATTGAGACAATGAACAGTTAAAACAACCCTACCCCTCCTCTGCCCACCCGTCAATATAAATGGGTACATGAGTTTGTAGCATATGGTGGGATAGTCTGCGTACTCCAGCCTTTTCCAAGCCATCTGATCAGCGTGGAAGAGGAAACCAAATACCTTCGAGAGGGCTCTCTATATCTCGCACCACTAAAGGCCGATTAGCACGGTTGGCTACTAACGGTGCAAAAGAAGTTCAAGATACATACAAAGGCCCTTCCATCAGCAGTGGCCTGATAAAGCAATTACTGGTGTGTTGCTTCATTGTATTGCAGCATGATATCATTACATTTGCATGACGCCATTGTTTCTGAACATGGCTGTTGATGTCTTACAAGAGTTTGCTGTTCGTTCTATTTCCCGTTTTCATTTTCCATTCGTAGATTTTCATCAGAAACGGCAAGGAGGTGAACAACCACCCCCGAGTCCAATGGACGGGCAACCCGGCCGCGTGCAACGCTTCCATTGTGATGCGTAAGGTGCTGTTGGAAGACTCGGCTCAGTATCGCTGCGAGATCTTCCGCATCCCCTCCTACAACGAGGGGCGCAGCGTGGTGAAGCTGCACACGTTACCCTCCACAGGTGACCTACTGAGGCATCATCGTCCTCATCATCATCACCTACAACCCTCCACCTGGTGGCTAAAGCTACGAGTTGGGGCCCTTTTCACAACCACCATGACATATGTTTTCAACAACAGTGTAAAAGAACAACAACACAATTAAAACGCGGTTTAAATATATTTTTGTTATGAAAATTATTTCATTTACGTACCACATTTGATCTTAATTTAGTTAGAGCAGTAACATAATATTGCAACGAGGTACTACTACAGAGCTGTAGTGGCTGCATTTTGTAAAGACGGAGCGCTCCTATGGTGTTAAATGTTTCGAGACCGTGAGCGTAACGATTTTGTGATTAGGGCAATAGACCGCGATAGAATACCCTGGGTGCAACAGTGCGAGACAAATCGAATATTGGGGCCCCACCGATTGCCGCACCCCCTGAGCTGATAATGTAGTTACGACATCACTGCCTACTACACCACTAGCTAGCAACCACTGCCAACATCATAATTGTCTTCATTCCTTCATCTCTCACCCTTGATAATAACAAAGTATGTTGTAATAGTAATACACTCATATTGTATCTTTGTCAGAGTACTAGCAGTATTCACACAATGTCGTTTAACTGTAACGCGGAATGCGCACAATTATGACGCGGAACGTGTGGTCGTTATAACACAAAAAGCACATCATTATAATGTAGAATTTGCCCGCTGTTATAACGCAGAATGTGCACCATTATATCAACGTACACACACCGTTATAACGCGGTATGTACACGTTATAATACGGTACATACCGTTATAATGTGGAATTTGCACCGTTATAACACGGTTTCTGAGCAGTCCATGATGAACTCCTTTCTTGAGCTGTGCAGCTGAGCGGTGCAGTGATACAGTAACGCCGAACGATACAGTAACGCAGTAGCTGTGTAACCCTCATCTCATTCTCTGTGCTGCCATGGGATGACTGCGGCCCGAATGTTTTACAATGCAGCTGTGATTCAGCACAGTTATTCCTCGCGTAGTGCTTTTTCTCTGAATATGGCAATTTTGAGGAACTCATCTACTGCTCGAAACGAGGAATTACTTTACAGGGTGGTCCAGATGTCTTGTGTCCCCCATTTAATTCTCTAAAACATAATATATTTGTGGTATACCAATGGGTGTGAAAGCAAAAGTGAGTAAGCAAAGGAAACACATTTTAGGGGTAAATTAATTGGGTGTCACAAACCTTCTGGAACCACCCTGTGCAGTAATAGTGGCCTGGTGGCACTGACACCAGAGTGGCGAGCTGGTTACCACCGAGATCCTAGGTTCAAATTTAGACAACCTTAGGTGATTAAACCAGGTTCTTAAATGTATTGAGTTATGGTTCTAAAGATTGGTCTCAAATAATAACATAGTGACTCAGACACACGTAGAGAACCATAGACTCACAGAGGTCCATAGACTCACCCAGAGATCCAGATACTTTCAAACACCTGGTTACGTGATTATAGTACTTTTTTCCTTGACAATTTAAAAACAAATTACGTGTATCACTGTGCCTGTCATTTAACAATGATTGCTTTTTGTAAGTGCAGGTGGAAAAGTGCTTTTTACCTACTGGGAGAATCAGGGACCACTTGAAGCGATCTCAGGAGTAGATCTGCAATCGCCTTTTTCGTGACAAATCTTTGAGAAACAAAAGGGTTGCAATTCTCAGTGAGAGATCAGAATCGGTAAATCGTCCAATTAAATGATGCCATCAAGCAAAGAGGGTTATATTCTTTGGTTCTTTCTGTTCTTAACCTCGGTGAGCGTACTGACACTCTATAATGTAGACTGTAGGCTGGTTCTTAACCTCGGTGAGTGTACTTGCAGTCTATAATGTAGACTGTAGGCTGGTTCTTAACCTCGGTGAGTGTACTGGCAGTCTATAATGTAGACTGTAGCCTGGTTCTTAACCTTGGTGAGCATACTAGCAGTCTATAATGTAGACTTATTCTTGGTTCTTTCGGTAATAAAAACATAAAAACCACGACATTTCGATCACAACACAAGCGATCGTCTTCAGGAGGAAAGAGGGGGAAGGTCACCGAAGGCAACCGTTTATAAAGGTTTCAAAAATGGGCGTGGCACAAGAGCACAAGGGCGCAATGAAGTGGGCGGGGCATATGTGCCCTGGGGTCAGAGAGCACCAATGTGAAGCACAGAACATGAAGGTTAAGAACCAGGCTAGAGTCTACATTATAGACTGCCAGTACGTTCACTGAGGTTAAGAATCAGGCTACAATCTACATTATAGACTGCCAGTACGCTCACTGAGGTTAAGAATCAGGCTACAGTCTACATTATAGACTGCCAGTACACTCACCAAACTTAATAACCAGGCTACAGTCTACATTATAGACTACCAGGATACTCACTCCGATTAAGAACCAGGCTAGAGTCTACATTAATGTTTTTTTTTGTTTTTTATTACTTTTATCACTTTATTTTTATTATTTTTCTATCTAAGTGACTTTACCGAAAGAACCAAAGAATATGAATTCCTGCAGTCACGAAAGTTTTAAGTCAAAATCAAGGAGGGTTACCACATCGTGCACTTTCAGATATGCTTCTGCGGCCATCTGGAATGCTCTTCTGATATTAGGAAGTCACCAAAGCTTTACACTTTTATTTCATCTAGATTGAAAGCTGATTTGTTTAGAACTGGTTGTTATTGTGTCTAAGTTGTTGTCCTTCCCCGCACCTCTGATTAGTACGGTTGGCTATGTATGGGGCAAAAGAAATTCAACTTACTAACAATAGCACAATTATGGTAACAGTGGATAAAAACAGATGAACATTAAGATATACAATACTTTTAAATGTTACATTCAAACCTAAGCAATGTTGTTGTCACGTGTGTACCTGTTCTTGTGAAGAACTCATCATCTACGCACCAACTGAAGAGACCACCATTGTTGGAAACGATGTTCTTCTGAAGTGCACCTACTTCTGCAAAGGCCCCAGGGACAAGTTCACGCTGGTGCAGTGGTGGAGAATTAGAGACGGCAGGGACGAGAAGGTAGCGTCTTCGCGTGGTCAGATAAGGGAATGTTGAACTTTATTGACATCAGAGTTAAGGTTCGTGTATTTGCAACTTGTCGCAGAGGTTCACGGTTCGATGCACTGCCCTTCCTGAATAATAATGTGGTTGTGTTCACTCTTTTCTGTTCCGATAATGTACGTGTACATCATAAAAGTTAAGCCGGAAAAAAATGTAATAACTTTTTCGGTACCGATCCTTCCACAAGGCCATGCCAGGAGGGTGTGTGGCACAATTCTGCACCAGCTATATCATAGGGTGCGGTAATGTCGCTACGGTTATCTATATAAAATTGACTCTGAGCCACTTGCACGTTCCGAGATTCAGAGGTGAGCGGGACACCTACACCCTGCAACTTGCAGTCGTCTACTGTAAAGTAGCTATCGCTACTTTACAGTAGTGGTAAAAAAAATCCCGTTGACATTCTTTAAACAACAATAAAATGTCAGTCAATGTGTGCCGGCATAATGTTTTCCAATTTTAATATTTGAACAAAAGGTTATGGTCATCAGGAAAGTATCTTGAAAAGAGAGGTATTTCGATGTCCGAATAGAACGATAATGGTAAAATGATTTATCATGGTGTTACAGGGTTCCCAGTCAACTTAACATTATTTTACTAGGTAAGGCTCACTGATATAAATAGCTATTTTTCAGATGCGACCTGGCCATAAATGGATAACTCAACGAAGTGGCTTATCACGTGGACGTTTATAGCAGCCAAATACTCCGCGTGATGTTGATTCTAAATGTGGAGGGAACACCGGAGGACCCGGAGAAAAATGCACGTGACCACGGGGAGAACATGCAAACTCCAAATATACAGGCGTCAGGGTCAGGATCGAACCCACGAAACTCATGTATACAAAGCGAGGTAGTTAATATCTCGCCACTGTGGCGACCTTAAGTTTTGTGCACCTTGCAATTCTCCAGGCAATATTAAGGGTTCTAATGATATGAGTGGCGTCCGGGTTGGACCATGGTGGTTGCTTGCCTTAAACATCAATTTATTTAGTAGGTGGGGTAGGGGGTGGTGTTTGTATATATATTTGTACGTAGGAATTAATGTTTGGGGGGTAGCGCGCTGGGCTATGAACCCGGCGTCCCGAGTTTGATTCCAGCTATAATCTGAACCGGTCCTGGGCCTCCCCTAGGTCCACTCAGCCTCAAAGAAATACCTGGTGTGCTGTGTAAACATCGCCGCTGGGGAGACAAAGGCGGCAGGCGTGCTGCTAGCCACCCATTCCCTTGTGTGCTGTGCCAGCGTTCATAGGTGCTCGGTAACAGCAATGTTGAACTTCTTCTTAGGTTCTTTCGGTAAAGTCACGTAGAATGAGAATAAAATAATAAAATAATATTTTAAAATAACACAATAAAATTTTCACGACGTCATATAGTAAACCGATGTGAAAATACCTAAGTCTAAATTACATCGATATAATAAATATACTCAATATATCCTTATTATATTGTATTGATGTAATTGATGTAATTTAGACTTAGGTATTTTCACATCGGTTTACTATATGATAGTCGAGTTGTTGCAGCCCCTTTGGCGTCCATGTACTGGGTGCCTCTGTAGATGTGTAGGCTTTGACTTTAACATAGCTATTTCTATGACCAGTCACAAGCTAATCCATCAGTTATTTCAATGCCAAATTCTCATGTTTGATTTGTACTAGGTGCCTCTGTGGATGTGTAGGCTTTGACTTTAACATAGCTATTTCTATGACCAATCACAAGCTAATCTCTCAGTTATTTCAATGCTAAATTATCCTGTTTGATTTGTACTAGGTGCCTCTGTGGATGTGTAGGCTTTGACGTTAACATAGCCATTTCTGTAACCAGTCACAAGCTAATCACTCAGTTATTTCAATGCTAAATTCTCCTGTTTGATTTGTACTAGGTGCCTCTGTGGATGTGTAGGCTTTGACTTTAACATAGCTATTTCTTTGACCAGTCGCAAGCTAATCAGTCAGTTATTTCAATGCTAATTTCTCCTGTTTGATTTGTACTAGGTGCCTCTGTGGATGTGTAGGCTTTGACTTTAATATAGCCATTTCTGTGACCAGTCACAAGCTAATCACTCAGCTATTTCGATGCTAAATTATCCTGTTTGATATGTACTAGGTGCCTCTGTGGATGTGTAAGCTTTGACTTTAACATAGCTATTTCTACGACCAGTCACAAGCTAATCACTCAGCTATTTCAATGCTAAATTCTCCAGTTTGATATGTAAACCCCTTTGTCAAGGTGCCTCACTTCTCTAAACCAGCTTAAAAGACGCTACAAATCTTAACAACGTTCATTGAAGCTCTGTCATCCCGGCAGGTCTGTTCCTTTCACCTGAAGGCCACTTGTGTTGTGGCCGAAACGTCGTGAGAATTTTATTGTGTTATTTTATTTATTTATTATTTTATTCTCATTCTACGTGACTTTACCGAAAGAAACAAAGAAGATGAATCTTTGCAGTCACGAAAGCTTTAAATCGAAAAATGTTGAACTTATTTCGCACCGTACGCAGCCAACCGGGCTTATCAGAGATGCCAGTGTTTATTCGTGATTCTAAAAAATAGCTTTTGGAAAAATGCCCAGGCAGTTTCTTGCCAAGGGTATGTTATGGTTACGTTTCCTTAGCAAATATTTGATAAGTTTGTAAAATATTTCAATTGTGAACAAATAATTGTCGAGTACAAGCATAATCAGAGATGTCCGTCCCTCTGTGTGAGTCAAAAAGATCTTCATAAAAAACGGCGAAGATCACGTCGTCCACTCGCGGTTTGCGTGGCGTGGGAACGAGACATCGTGCGACGCGTCCATTGCCATCACAAACGCGAGCCTCAGTGACGTGGCCCATTACCGCTGCGAGGTCACTTACATCCCGTCGTACAAACAAGGCAGGAAGGTGATGCGTCTCAACGTGCAGGCGCCACCAGGTTCGTCCGCACTCTCTCTGCACGGATGGTGGACGTTTTCGGGCCATTTTGATGATGGTAGCAATGATGACAAGCGACAATAACGTACCGTGGTGTTTTTATTTTTCCTTTTTGTGCAGATACACCAATTCAAACAACGCCCAGAATAAATCCAGAAATCAACAACTCGATTCAAGATATAAATACACGGATCACAGTTATTGTCGTTATAGTAGTATTTCTTTTTCTCGTCGCCTGCATTTTCATGTGCTTACGATGTCAGAAACATTTTTCACGATGCCGGTGAGTTCATCGCCTCTGTTTCTTTCTCCTAATTAGTCATCTTGCCAACCACCATCCAGTGCACGCCTCCAAACCTCACCTCATCCCGACAGCTGACTTAGTTTGTGTCTGCCTCCGTTTCTCCTTGCCTCCATGTATGTGTTTTGCACTTCTTTTCCACCATACGTAGCCATTCGTTCTTATAGGAGGTGCGGGGAAGGACAAAAGCTAAACACAAAAAGCAGTTCTAAAGAAATCAGTTTGTCAATCTAGATATTTTAAAAGTGCATAGCTCCAGTGGCTTCCTAATATCAGAAGGAAGAGCATTCCAGACGGCCTCAGAAGCGCATCTGAAAGCGCGCAATGCAGTGATCATCTTTGTTTGATGGCTAGCCAAAAGCCACTGTGGGGATGACCGGTGTTTGCGTGATGATAATTTATGCTCCTTGACGAGATCATTTGCGGGGAGCAAATGAACCACACTAAAATTGAAAGATAAACATCTACAAGTTACTACGATATTATTCAAAGAGTATATATGTTTGTCTTTTAACGGTGATTCTTAAATAATGTATTATTAGTTGTAATATTAGGTTAGTAGCACATTATGTGCTCTCCAGTTGGCTGGGTGAAAAATGGGTGAAGGTTTGCCCAATCCTGGACACCTGGTATAACAAACTTAATAAACCAAATAACTAAATAATGTGGACACTATGGGAGAGGGTTGTTGGGGAAATTTCTAGGAGAAAAGATGGAACGGAGGTGAGGGTTATATTCTGGAGAACAGAAGGGAGGCGAGACGTTTATGGTTTTGGGAATGTGTTGAGAGGATGCAATGAGAAGGGCGAATGAGATTCCGCTGGTGCAGGGCTGAAGGAGTAGAGGGGAACCCAAGGGGGAGATTAAAAAATGCGGTGGAATGAGACAAATAATACAAGTGCATGGAAAATAGTAATCTGAGCAGCCAACTCTATGGAACAATGGGGCTTTGGTCTTAAAAGAAAAAGAAAAAGATAATCAAGTTTAGAGAACACAAAACCATTCATGAATATAACTTGTCTGGGAGTTACTAATAAGGCAATTAACAGGGGGTGGACAGAACTGATGGGTGCGACAAAGACTCGGTGACATTCAGAGCCAAATGTGGTTGTACTTGAGCGTGCCGTAAACTCTCGGTGGTTTGTTAACTGATACAAACATCCACCGTTCCCCTGGCCAGAACCCTCTTGTGAAGGTGGGGACTTGATGTTCGTTGCTTTGTTATAAAGCTTGCACTCATTACATACAAAGTGCTTGTCACAAATTAAAACCACAACAATTTTTGATCTCATTAAGGAGCATAAACCATCACGCCAACTCCATTCATCCTCACAGCAGATTTTGGCTGGCCATCGAACAAAGACGGGTACTGCATCACGTGCGTTCAGATGCGCTTCTGCAGGCACCTGGAACGCTCTAACTTCCGGTATTAGGAAGCAAATGGAGCTATGCACTTTCATTTCTAGATTGAAAGATTATTTTTTTTAGAACTGCTATTTTTGTTCAGGTTGTTGTCCTTTCCCCGTACCATCCAGTTCGTATGGATGGCTACATACGTTGCGAAATAAGTTCAACATATTAATCGATTGGCGGTGACCCGGGTCACCATCGTGACCAGGGGGTGCCAAAACCTCCATAACTCCGAAACCAGAAGGCCTATGAAGACGGGAGATGTCACTGAGTCCGATACGCACGCCAAATATGGAAATTAAAAAACACACGCAAAACACCCGTAAAAAGGGGGGCAACTGGGGATTTGTGCGTGGCAACGGCTGTTCATCGTTTGTTTTGATAGTACATCAGGATGCTGGTCTAGTCATTCCCCAGCACGTTCTGCTTCTTACGGGGGCGGCCACCATTTTTTTTGGGGAGCGAGACCACTTGGAGGCAATGGCGCACCAGGCGCTCTCTTGGTACGGCCGGCGGTCATGGTCGTGCAGGCGGGCTCGACATCGTCGTCATCATCGTTCCCAGCATCGCCTTCCGGCAGGACAGGGTAGTACCAGCGATGCTCCCAGAAAAAAAAACCTTAAACTATGCCCGGCCCACCAATATTTTTCGGTGACCCGGGCTACCGCCAATCGATTCATATGTACATAATCATCACAAGGAACCTCTGTCGACGCACCTACTGCTTAACTAAAATAGCGTTTTGTTGTCACGCGAACGAAAGTAGTTAATAACTGAGAAAACAGACGAATTTAACAGTAAAGTGATAACGTGAGCAGTTCTCTCTGGCAATACAAACAGAGCTATACATAAATCATACATCCGCAATGACAAATAACATGTCAGATTAAGTGGAGGAATTTCCATGGGTAATACTTGAAGAACGAATCACTGCCCTTCGCAGTACGAACAGGAAACGACTCTTTGACCAGACGGAATAACTGTGGCCATTTAGGAAAATATAATTAAATGAATCAATGTGAACAGCTGTCAGAACAACCCTAGTGGATCTCTTTACCAAATCTTGATTTGAAGCTTTCGTGACTGCAGGAATCCATGCTCGTTGGTTCTTTCGGTAAAGTCACGTAGGTATAAAATAAAATAAATCACGATGTTTCAGGCGCAACACAAGCGTCCGTCATCAAGTGTGAAAGCATCTTTACCAAATGTTTGCAGACAAATGAAACACAGTAAGCAATAATTAATGCTTACATCCTTCCCCTTTACAAAAAGGGAGAATTTCAGATTTGAAAAAGTACAAATCCACTTGCATAATTTTGCATGCACTGACTTTGACGATCGATTATGATATTGGAACTAAGAATGGAATTATTAGAGACAAACATTTTCTGTGAGCTATCAAGCTGAATCTAAAAAAAGGGTTTTCAACCATTGTCAACACGTATGCTCGCAGTTATATCCTAGAAAATATAATGTATTTCATATATCACTATGTCTAGCTTGTATGCGTTATGATGCGCGATTCAGTGTAAACTGTTGGGAGTCATTCAAGTATTGATCAGTCAATACCATAGTAAAGAAATATAGACGTATAGAAATTATTACATACGTTTGTAAAAATGTAATTGTTACTCTGCGATGACATAACACAACAACATACTAGTCTGATGGGGAGCAACAGAAACGGAGAATGGATTACCATCTCGGATTGGCTGACGACATGGTCATTGCAGCAACCGGCTGAAATGAACTATGACGGAACTAATTACACATAGGGATCTGTGATGCTGTGTTCAATTTTGCATGTTAATACCTGGAATGCATCGCGATGTGTTGACATTCGCTTGTGATATATTGTCTTCATATGTATTGGCCAATTGAAAGACAACGAACGGAACAAAGCCACAACACAGGTGGTAAGTACATTGGCACACATGTATTCAATTGTAATATGTTTGACATGTTTTATATACAATGTGATGCTCCATATGTGTGATCTATACACAATTGGCCAATGTATGTTATCTATACACTTAATCGATGTGTGTGATCTTTACACCTACTACATGTGTGTGATCTATGCAACAACATTCACTATTCGCCACTAAGTGGCTGTGACGTCACCATGGCTCTTGTGCTTGGCTAAGTGCACTTTAAGGTCATGTGAAGTGTCGAACGCCAACTGGCAGGAGGTCACGGGACAGACCCAGGTGCCATGGGTTGACTGACTCAGACGACTGGCAGATGCACCACCTGTGCCCCCTACTGTGCCAACTTGCTGTCTTTTAGCCGCCTGATGCTCCACTCGTTGTTGTGAGTGTCACTCCTCTGCCCTCCGTTGTTGCTGGAGGGCGACTGCTTCCAACTGCCCAATACCGTCCTTCACGAGCCTCCTCCATAGAGGCTGATCTTGACACCGCTGGTACCTGTCATCTACAAGTGGAGGGAAGCCTGGGAAAACATCCAGTCGATTAAAGATATAGACACCAACTTCACGTGTATGATCTAGACACCCACTCCATATATGATCTGGACACTCCATGTAGGATATGGAGACCGATTGTGAACAATATGAATACGTGCTTAATACGCTGGTTATGTTGGGTTGGCTGGTAATGTCATGGATGGAGGCACTCATAACTATTTATTGCCAACGTAGGATCCCCACAATCTATTGGGGGCACTGACTATTGAAGACATACATCTTTTGACTGTGATGCTTCTTGAAGTGATGATGATGTCATATGGAGTAATAGTAAGATGTTATAGTTTGATGTTAAATATAGAACATTGCTCATGATAAAGGTGTTTGGGTTAGATCGCGTTATTTATAAATGTGTCGTAACCCCCTACACCCGAGAGTTACGACACAATTATAAATGACGCGATCTAACCCAAAAAACTTTATTATGAATAATATTGGTCGCGAAAGCCTACGTGTTATATAGATCATTGCATTGACTAAATTGAAAACTCATTTCTTCTGAACTGCTTTTTGTGTTTAGTTTGTTGTCCTTACCCCACACCTCTGATTAGCATGATTGACTACGTACAGTGCGAAATAAATTGAATATACTTACATATTGCTGTACTCCTAAGCTGGTTCGTTTATGCACTGTGTACATGTAGACACGTAGCCCACGTAAGCAGCTTGGTATGGGGAGACCCTCATCCAGGAGTGTATTGACAGACGCACAAGAAAGGATGTACCTGTCTCAGTATGGGTACTTCTTTTTTCAGCTCCAGGAAATGGAGGACGTAATGAGGAGGAACCGGAGGTGATTCCGTTGCAGAGAAATCCCTAGTCTGCAGGTATTATTTTATGTATTGGTTTCATCAGACCCTTGGGGAGATTATACACTTAACAACAACACCTCGATGTCCTTACCAACAACACGATGTCCTTAACAACAACAACAACAACAACAAACCGGGTGTCCTTAACAACAACACTGTGCCCTTAACAACACGATGTCCTAAACAACAACACCGTGTCCTTAACAACCACATGGTTCCCTTAACAACAACACGTTGTCCTTAACAACAAGACGGTTTTCTTAATAACAACACGATGCCCTAAACAATACCACCTGGGTCCTTAACAACCACAAGACGGTGCCCTTAACAAACGATGGCCATGGTTCACTTAACATTAACATGATGCCCTGTGATGTTCTCAGATGCTGCGTCTTAACGTGTCGAGCTCATGAGCGCCAACACCTAGAAAGAAGAGGCGACATCCTGGCAGGTGGGGGGTTACCAACCCGACCTGACCAGCAGGGTGAATTATGATTAAAATAGGACTGCAAGAAGCCTCTGCAGCAGTGGGAAATCCCGAGCATGTTTTACCATAATTTCTCACCTCCAGCCAGCGTTTCCCACTGCAGAGGCGTCTTGCAGTGCTACTTTCACAATGTTTCCTCACGGTGAAATGTGGTAAAGGTTTGTTGAATAAATCTATATCTCAGGGGCCATTAGATAATATTCCTTAGTGATATGATGCCACTAATTTCCAAGAGGTTTGCCCAAAGAAAATTTAGTTGCGTCAGAAATTAACGCTAAGAATATACATTGCAATACAGTAAAAATGTATTATTGATATTAATTCGTCATCTTCATCATCAGCCGTGATCTGTCTATGACTGAATGAAGGTTCTACCCCTAAGCCATCAGTCACCATCTCTCAGGGTCTGCCAGATGCAACAATCCATCCTGGAGTTGCACACCAGCTGCTTTCATTGCTCATTGTGCTTCGTCTGCCACTCTGGCATTATTCGTCATCATATGAATGTATGTTGACTTTCTTTTGCACAGTACCTAGCCACCCGTGCTAATCGGAGGTGCGGGTCAAGGAAAACAAACAAAATACAAAAAGTAAATGTAAAGACATGAGTTTTCAATCTAGATGATGTAAAAATGTGTAGCTCCAATGGCTTTATGATATCGGAGGGATGAGCGTTCCAGTTGACTGCAGAAGCGCATCTGAAAGCGCATGATGCAGTAACCGTAACCCCCCCCTCCCCCCACTTTGCGCAAGAGCACAAAAGCGTGGTCACCACATCTACGCCTCTATATAAGGAACGAAACAGACTTCTCCACAAACCTGGTTGTCGCCCGACAAAGCTAGTTGTAATTACTGGCGAAACGTCGTACTCAGATTGTAAATGTGGTGGCTTGGCTCTCCAACACACCGGTGTGCTGTACTAGTGACGAATTGGCATGTTCTGTTTTACGTGACAACCCTTCCTCGTTGGCTGTGTCGGATAGTGGCGGGTTTTAACGACACATTTATACGTGTACGCGATCTAACCCAAAAAAACTCTATTATGGAGTAACCGTCTTTGTTCGATGGCCAGCCAAAAGTGAAGTGTATACTGTAATGTATAGTGTAGAGTATAGTAGTGTAGTGTACAGGGTAGTTTATAGTGTAGTGTATAGTGTGGTGCATAGTGTAGCGTGCAGTTTATAGTAGGGTCGTGTAAAGTGCAGTGTAGTGTATAGTAGTTTAGTATATGGTGTTGTCAATAGTGTATTGTCTAAGTACATTGTTAATGTAGTGTATAGTAGTGCAGTGTATAGTAGTGTAGGGTATAGTAGTAGTGTATAGTGTAGTTTATAGTGTAGTGTATGTAGCATATGAAGGTGCACGAAGCGGTGACCGTCTTTGTTCGATGGCCAGCTAAAAGCCGCTGTGAGGATGATCGGAAATCACGTGATGGTTTATGCTCCTTGACGAGATCAGCAAATGTACTGTGGTTCAATTGTGGCAAGCACTTTGTGTGTAATGAGTGCGACCTCAAAATCTATTCGTTCGGCAACCGTAAGCCAATTTACTAACTTCCAGCAATGTGTCTTGCCCAGGACCCACTTGCTTTTCTTTTCCAGTCACTGTGAGATCTCTCACGAGTAAATAGCTCTAATCCAAACACTCCTCTTATCACATAATTCCAAACATGCACGACTCTGTACTTCGTTGCATACTTTTCAGCGTTTTGTTTAATCGTTTTGTCCAGTATTCACGTTTCAGATGTATAGGTCAGAGCAGGCAACATTGGGTTATTATCAGTCTGTCACGGGATAATCGTTCAACGTAAATTTGGTCATATAATTATTTATTGCCAGCTAAGATAATCAAGGTAAAAAGTACAGTGATTTTCCCACCAAAGCATCGTTTGACTTGTGATTATACTCGTTTTTTTACCACATGTTCCGTTATTGCTATGTTTAAAATACTGTATTTAGATAATGCGACTGTATACAATGCAGTATAATCCTCATGTAATACCATGTTTGATTGGAAATCGGTGATACTACGATTAGTGATTTTTTTATGGCTGATTGTGCAGTTATACTTACAAAAATAACATTTACAGTTCTATACAATAAGCCGGGGTGGAAATGAAGGAGGCATATCGCCGTGTTGGGAGATGTGTCAAGTATGGAGAAATAAAATTCGCTGTCAGAATCTGGGGTGATGCAGTGACTTATTTTTTATTTTGATAACAGATTGAACACCTAAGGAGATGGCAGGTTTTCAGTACAGCATTTACTTAACAAGAAAGTGAAATTCACCAAGTTTGTTTAAACGTCATGTGAAATACAAATGTGTGTGTGTCGCTGTTAGTGGTATGTGCTGCGCGACGAACCCGGAGATCTGATTTCGATTCCCGCTCACAGTCAACACCAGTGGTGATTATCTGATCCGGTACTGGGCCTCCCCTAAATCGACTTCGCCTTAAATGAGTATCTGGTGCCGTGTGTAAATATCGCTACGCGGGAGGCAAAGGCGGCCGGGTGTGCGGGCGTGATTCTAGCCACTCACCCCCTCGTGTGCCTCAGTGCCGGCCTTCATAGGCGCTGCTGTTGCTGGCTAACAACACTTGCTCTCCAGCCTGCTCAGGTCCCCCGACCTTTGGCTCCTTCATAGGCGCTGCTGTTTCTGCTACTCGCTAATAACAGCACTTGCCTAAACAGTTTATTAAAGGCTACACGGGGGAACCTTTGTCTTTGTTTTTTTACGTCCTCGGAAGCTTAACAGTCTTCTTCTTTGGTTCTTTCGGTAAAGTCACGTAGAATGAGAATAAAATAATAAAATAAAAATAAGACAATAAAATTATCACGACGTTTCGGCCACAACACAAGCGACCTTCTTCAGGTGAAAGAACAGAACTGTCGGGACGACAGTGCTTCAATGAGTGCTGCTGAGATTCGTGGCGTCTTTTAAGCTCGGTGATAGGTGTGAACCACCTAGAAAGCAGGATAATTTAGCATTGAAATAGCTAGGGATTAGCTTGTGACAAAAAATAGCTGTGTTAAAGTCAAAGTTTACATATCAACAGAGGCAGTTAGTATATGGACGCTAAAGGGCCTCCAACTACCCAACTATCCTACAGTAAACCATTGTGAGGAAAAACTAAGTCTATATTACATCAATATAATAATTGTACTTAATATATTCTTCAATAAGCTGAGCTATTAATCACAAAGCAACTGGGTATACACTATACTATATAATGAATACCATATGGTAAAATCAATGAAAACCAAAATATAAACTACCTCAATGTTATCAATAAACTCTATATACTCTCCAATCAGCTGAGCCACCAACAATAAGTCGTTATATATCACAATGCCATATTGCGAAAAATGGCGGTTTTTCTTCCCATCAACGACCAGCACCACGGACAACGAACGAGCTTCGTTCAGACGGACGAGTCAATCCATGCTCGGGAACGGAAGAGGGAGAGAGACAGACATAATGCGTTGTTATACTCCATGTTATAAACCATACCATTAACCGTGGTGTGAGAGGTATTAAGAGGCAATGTCAGCGAAAGAGCTGCGGTCTGACGGTAACTGTAAAATACAATTAATTAAGAACCGAAATGGTTTAAAACATCTTTCCAATGGTTACTAAGCCAGAATCCATCTTCTCGGTTGAAATTGTCTCTGTGCTTGTATATATGGATGGCCTCATGAACGAATCTCTCATGGTAGCCGATTGGCTTGCAAAGAACCTCCGTCTTGGAGAAGGCAATGTCATATGACATTAATTAATTAGTTGGAGGCCCTTTAGCGTCCATATACTAAATGCCTCTGTTGATATGTAAACTTTGACTTTAACACAGCTATTTTTTGTCACAAGCTAATCCCTAGCTATTTCAATGCTAAATTCTCCTGCTTTCTAGGTGCTTCACACCTATCACCGAGCTTAAAAGATGCATACGAATCTCAGCAGCACTCATTGAAGCACTGTCGTCCCGACAGTTCTGTTCTTTCACCTGAAGAAGGCCACTTGTGTTGTGGCAGAAACGTCGTGAGAATTTTATTGTCTTATTTTTATTTTATTATTTTATTCTCATTCTATGTGACTTTACCGAAAGAACCAAAGAAGATGATTCCCTGCAGTCACAAAAGCTTTAAATCGAAACTTAACACTCTTGTGTATCGATAACTACCGTACGCTATATTCTTACATATTGACACAATGTGAAAGACCCAACGTAGAAGATCCCTGGGTTTGAGCTTCTACGAAGTTCATGGCCCACCCTAAACCGCATCCACTGCACAAACCATTGCATCCAGAACAAACCGTACCACGTACAACGACGCAATGCCCCGATCCATAAATACGAAGGAGATATCACAGAAACTCACTCTGTTGTTCCTGACGCAGTCATTTGGCTTGACCATCTGGATGTGAATTTGTAATTGTAGCTCTGCATCTAAAAGAGCTGAATGGAAGAACAAGAAGCGCATGGCCCACAGATGAACTCCCCCCTAGTCTAACAGTGCCCACAGACTCACACTACCCATAGACTCCATGGTAGACTGCAGATCATTTTTCATAAATACATTTTCTTAACATACTCTTGGGTTCTTTCGGTAAAGTCACGTAGTTAGAAATTAAATAAAACAAATCACGACGTTTCGATCGCAACACATGCAGTCAGGCGATGACGACCGCTTGTGTTGCGATCGAAACGTCGTGATTTGTTTTATTTTATTTCTAACTAGCTGTACCCGGCCACGCGTTGCTGTGGCTCAGTCTGGTTAAATGGAAAAGAAAGAAAAGAGAAAGCGCACGTTTCTAAAATATTTAATTTCACAATGCTTGTGGGTATACAATATTTTTTGTTGTTCCATTGTCTGTGTAGATATAGAGATTGTCTGGTTTGCCGACTCTAGAACACGCAAAATATAATTGTCCATGTGAGAAGCAATCCGTGTATAGATCTAAACCGCACAATTCTAAAGATTGGCCCTGAGCTTTGTTGATGGTGATTGCAAACACCAATCGAATTGGGAATTGCAATCTCTTAAATTGAAATGGCATATCCGTTGGAATCATAGGAATGCGAGGAATGAGGACAGCTTCACCTTTGAAAGGTCCTGTCAAAATTGTTGCTTCAACGACGTCGCTCATTAATTTTTTTACTGCAAGCCGCGTGCCGTTGCAAAGCTTTGGCTGGTTGATATTTCGCAACATGATGCACGCCGATTTTCAATTGCAGTACGTGCGGTGGCATCTCTGGCAGATGAGTGAATTCAAAAATTCTGTTGGATAATTAACCGCTTCATCTGCTTCCACAACAGTGTCGACGGACTTGTATGTGACTGCCTCGCTTTGAACGTTAGACTAAATAATATTGTTAAGTTCGTAGACGTCTTTGTTCTTGGCCGCAAGAATAGCTCGTTCACTCAGCCAATCGTGATTCTTACAATTGGTTTGAATATTGGGAAATACTTTTTCAACCAATTCTTCTTTTGACGTCACTAAATTGCAGAAGTTATGAGGCAATGAAATTCGTCCTGAGGTCAGATCAACCGGCACCTTTCCGTTCCCAATTTCCAGCAATTGATGTGAGAATATTTCAGCTGATCGATCGTTTTGCAGCTGGACACGCATATTTGTAGTTAATTTAACGTCTTTACGTGTCGCCACAAAGTAGAGTATTTCAGGCAAGCATTTATTTTTCGTCCGCTGGTGTCGATCGAGGAATTACAGGTAATGTTTGCCTGAAATCTCCTGCAAGCAATATTAATGCGTTCCCAAATGGTGTGAT